TTTGAAATTAATTGATTTATTTATTTTTGTCAATCATTTTTAAAGATTATATTTTACGAACTGCAAACTAATAAATTATTATTTATTGGAATTTTTTTTAAATTTTTATTTTCTTGCTTTTAATTCTTAATTACTTTCAATATATTTGATTCATTTTGATTTTCTTTTAATTTTACTTTACATTATTATTTTATTTTATTATAGTCACTATCTGATGGCAGCAGTTTTCCTGAATCTATTTCCACTATTTAACGGACTTTTATTTAAATCTCAACTGCAGCGCGCGAGCTGAAAAACGAAACTGAGACCCCGAAATCCAAATGCACTTTACCATCTTGTCATAGCGGTTAGTTAGTACATTTTTGCCTCTTTCGAATGCCAACGGCACGGACAACAACAATAATGGCAACAGCAATGTTTATTATGCGCTTATTGACACATCGCCATACAATTTTTTCAATTGTCTAAAGTGTAAATTCGTCAGAGGCCGCACGAAACGAAAAGTGGTCGCAGCTTGTATATTTTTCGCACTGCGCGCGCGCTTAAAGGGAGGGTCAAAGTTTTTAAATAGTGTTTCAAGTTTCGGTTTTATTTTCTATTTTTACTTTTTTAATTGTCAGCTTGGTCGAAAACCTGCAGTGGATGGTGTTTGCAATCGAGCTTGAAACGCTCAATTTGCACTTCCTTTATTTGCACAGTTTTTGTTGACACTTGCGATTAACAATATGCACATAGTGTTGCGCAGTCAGGAAGTAAAGGGTAAATATTGATTTGCAAATACCAATCAATTAGCAACAGCCACTGCACAAAAGTTTTTGTTTTTCTTACTTGTCATTATTTTTCTTTTCAAAGTTTAAATATCAATAATTCGTGATGGCGACATCTAGTGGAAAATATTAACATTACTCAACCTGCTTTTCAACACTGTCCGCGTATATTGTAAATGATGGAAATTAATTGAGCGTATTGCTGTTATATTGAAAATTTCATCTACTAATATACTGTTCATAAATGTTCATAATTGATAAACATACTTTAATGAACTAATTTAGCAAATAATGAACTTACACAATAGCGTGCACTTGATCAGCTATATATCGATTACCATCGGCACATCTATCGATACTTTTGTTGCTGTGCATTCCTGTGCACTGTGGCTGCTGCCAACTCGCAACCTGCCTTCAAAGCGAAAAACATTACAGAAAATCGAAATCAAGTGCGTAAATAAACATAAAATACAGGCAGGACGCGTAAATAGCGTAACGTAGCAACCGCTAAGGCGTGCAAGGTGCCGGCTGCCTAAGCAATCGGCTCCGAGCAGACGTAGCCTTCTTATTGTTTGGGCTTGTGCGTATGTATAAATATAAATCTATATGTATGCGTGTGTGTGTGAGTGTGTGCGTGTTGTATATGTGCTAGTATTGAAACAATAACAAGCCCAGCAAAATGCCAATGAATTATAACGGAGCAGCGTTCAATGCGGCCGCTGCCTTTGTGCTGCTGCAGCAGCAAAAGCAGCGATGATTCATAGGTAAGTTATGCGACGGGCTTACCACATATTTAATTCTATATATGTATGTATGGACATAAATAATTTTATGTGTGTATGGGCCTGGCTTACCGTACGTACGTACATATGGTTATTTGTAGCCCGCAATAATTGTTACAGCAACAACAACAACCATAACAACCGTGGCCGTGCCTTAATATAATAACGTAGAGCAATAAAACATAAAACAAACCATTCACACGAAACGGTAAAATGCCGCTGCTGTCCAAATGCTTTCCTTGCTTTAAATTTAAACGCGAAGAGGTCATCGACAAGCTGGACTATAGCAATACACCGCTCCAGGATGCCTTTCCCGAGGTGTGGCAACACGAGCGCACTCTCGAGGAACTGCATCTGAGCAATGCGCGGGTGAGTTGTAAACTAATAAGAAATTAATATTCATCTTATAATTGATTAATCATTTCAGCTACAAACATTGCCACCGCAGCTGTTCTACTGCCAGGGACTGCGAGTCCTTCAGGTGAACAGCAACAATTTGGAGAGCATACCGCAGGCAATTGGTTCGCTGCGTCAATTGCAGCATTTGGATCTGAACCGCAATCGTTAGTTGTATAAATAATTATGTAAAATGCATCTATTAATGCTATTCCCTTTGCAGTTATTGTCAATGTGCCGGAGGAGATAAAGGCGTGCAAGCACCTGACCCACTTGGATCTCAGTTGCAATAGCCTCCAGCGTCTGCCGGATGCGATTACATCGCTGATATCGCTGCAAGAGCTGCTGTTGAACGAAACCTACCTGGAGTTCTTGCCCGCCAATTTTGGACGTCTCGTCAATTTGCGAATCTTGGAGGTGCGCCTCAACAATCTCATCACGTTGCCCAAGTCAATGGTCCGCTTGGTGAATCTGCAGCGACTTGATATTGGCGGCAATGAGTTCACCGAACTGGTAAGCGCATAATAAAATAAAACTCAAATAAGAGGGCATCTAATTTTGCTTCTATTAAAGCCGGAGGTCGTTGGAGAACTAAAGTCGCTGCGTGAGCTATGGATTGATTTTAATCAAATACGTCGTGTGGCTACCAATATTGGCAAACTGCGGGATCTGCAGCATTTCGAGGCCAATGGCAATCTGCTGGACACACTTCCCAATGAGCTGAGCAACTGGCGGAATGTCGAGGTATTGTCCGTGTGCTCCAATAACCTGGAGGCGTTTCCCTTCAGCGTGGGCATGCTCAAGTCGCTAGTCACCTTTAAATGCGAGTCGAACGGCCTCAGCGAGCTGCCCGATAGCATCAGCTATCTGGAGCAACTGGAGGAGCTGGTGCTGAGCCACAATAAGCTGATGCGTCTGCCCAGCACAATTGGATCGCTGACCAAACTGCGCTTCCTCTTCGCCGATGACAATCAGCTGCGGCACCTGCCCGACGAGCTCTGCAGCTGCAGCCAACTGAGCGTGCTGAGCGTGGCCAACAATCAGCTATCTGCGTTGCCGCAAAATATCGGACATTTGGCCAAGTTGAAGGTGCTCAATGTGGTTAATAACTACATTAATGCGCTGCCCGTTTCCATGCTGAGCCTGGTGAATCTCACGTCTCTGTGGCTCAGCGACAATCAGTCGCAGCCCCTGGTGCCGCTGCAGTATTTGGATGCGAGCAGCAAGACGCAGCTGACGTGCTTCATGCTGCCGCAGGTGACATTCAAAATGCAGGCGCAAAAGCAACAGCAGGTCCAGGATCAATACGAATTCGTCTACGCGAATCATGCGCAGCAGCCGCAGCATCCGTCGAGCCCATCACGTCGCATTTGCTTCGCCGAAGAGGCGACCATTCTAAGTGCAGGCGGCACCAATAGCAATAGCAACAGCAACACGAACACCAACAGTGCACCACATCCCGCGCCCAGCTACCCCGCCAGCTATGTGACGGCTCCGCCCACTCCGGAGCAGCTGCCCGCTGGCAGCTCGGTGCGCCTGATGCGTTCGCCCACGCCCTACCCCAAGGAGCTGCGTCAAATGGCCAAGTACATGCGACAGGCGCAGGCGGCGAACGCAGCGGCAGCGGCTGCGGCGTCAGCGTCATCGAGTGAGGTGCGCGAGGCGCGTGTCGTGGTGCCCAATGGCCAAGTGGCCATGCCACACTGTGATAGCAATCAGGACGCTGTGGATCACACAGCAAGTGCAATATATGGCGTTGCGCCCGAGGCGGCCCACATTTATGGTGTCTACCAGCCGGCGCAGCAGCAGACGCCGCAAGAATATTATGGCATGCCGTTGGTCAATTACGATGCGCACTACCAGCAGCTCTATGTGGATGCCAACACTTTGCCGCTGCCAACGACTCATTTGTCCAATGGCACCGAGGAGAACTATGAGCTGCAGCCGCTGCAACAGCCACCGGCGGCGCCACCACCACGCATGGAGCCGCCGCCTTATCATATAGCGAGAGTGTATACAAAGAAGACGCCGGAAGATCTCACGCTCTACGAGTCAATGCGACAGCGCAAACACCAACAACAGCAGCAGCAACAACAGCAGCAGCAACAACAACAACTGCAGCAGCAACAACAAATGTCGCCAACACAATCGCTTTACGAGCAGAGCAACCAGAGCTATCAGGATGCACTAAACAGCAACTTCAAGACGACGGCAATCGGTGCGCAATCTGAGGAGCTGGACTACCAAAACAATATCAACATTGAGCAGCTGGAACTGCAGCAGCAGCAGCTGGAGCAGCAACAGGATGTTGATGAGCTGCAACAGCAGCAGCAGCAGCAGTTGCAGCAGCTGCAGGAAATGGATGATACGTTATCGCAGCACTCAGTCAACTCCACGGCCACCAACAATACGTCCAGGGGTGGTAAAAAGTCAACCTGGATATTTGGTGTGCACAAGAATCCGACTGTTAAGCAAGTGACCCTCAAATGGGAGCACAGCATTGGCTTCGATGTTGCCGAGCTGCTTAATCAGGTGAATATTTGCTGTAATATTATTTGGAGCTTCAAACTAAACATTATTTGGTTGCTTTTCAGGTGGGGATCTTTGTGAGCGCCATAACGCCAAATACGAATGCTGCGCGGCTGCTGAGCCTCAACGATAAGCTGCTGGAGATCGACGGCTATGACCTGACCAATGCCAATCTGAGCGATGCCAAACGTGTTCTGCATAATTGCGGCACAGTTATTAACATAATGCTGTCACGCAAGTGACCGCCCCTTCCATGCCCCACTCCCCCCATGCCTCTATATACCGAGACCGAAGACTTTTGCGCATTTTTCTAAAGCAATTTTGCAATAAGCTAATTGAAATTTAGCGAACCATAAATATTAACAAATGCATTTCCAAGCCATAAACGTCCTTTGCACTGGCGCCTTAAACTTGTAGTAATTAGAGTCACAGACGACATAACATAACCAGCTTCCAGTTGATGCATTTCATTTAGTTAGATACGATTTCGAATGTCATTTAAGATACGCGGCGAAGCGTTATGTATGTGTAATTCTCACCATTATGTTCTCAACAAATTGTATTCTCTCGTTGGTTTAAAACACATTGATTATATTATATGCGAAACGGTGGTTTATATTTAGGTATTCGAACTGTAAATTAAGTTAAATGTATTTCACTTTTTCGCCTCTGAAACTGTTTTCAAACTTGTTACTTGATCGTAAATATTGTATTAAACTTGATAGCTTAAGTATTGATTAAGAATGAATTAGTTTTTCGTGCGGAGCTTCAAAGTGAAATAGTACTCAACTGGTATTCAAAGTAAAGCAATATATTTTGGTTTCTTTTCGGTTAATATATGTATATTTCTTGAAAACATTAAACATATTTATTTGTATCAAATTCGTATAGTCTATATTATGTTGGAGTCTTCAGTTAATATATTAATATTATAATAGACACATATACAAATATAGAAAGGTCGCTCTAAGTTTAGTTTTTATCTAAGAGAGGGCCTCTATTTTGTCCGCCAGTGTAATTCATAGCAAACATATAGAACATTTAATAAATAGTGCAATTAGCGTTGATAATACGTACATACAATTACGAGTACCACATAAACAGCATTTACAACCACACTTAAATACATATATATAGTATATATATACATACAATATTTACAACTAGCGCCTATTTTACGCCCAGCGTTGTTTAAATTTGTTCCAAATTGAAATCATTATGTGCTTAGAATAAAGTTAAAAATATTAGCTGTTTATGTTAGTTGTTATGGAGCAGCAATATAAATTCGATATACATATATAAATATAAATCTATGTATTCTATATTTATTGTCTAGAGCAATCATTTTGTCTATGTAAAGTTATTCACTTCTTGAACAAATTGGCGTTGTGAACAGTATTATAATTTAGCAGATATTATCAATATCAAATTATGCGAGAGTTGAACATTTCTATATCTTTATAATACATTAATACATACACACACATACACAAATACAGATAGCTTTAGGACGCACGTTACAAGAACAAAAATGTTATTTCTACGCGCTACAACAAATCATCCAGAAATGAAATTTAAAAAAAAAAAGAAGTTTATTCATAAAATAAAGACATGAAATTTTCACTTAAACTAACATTCTGAATTTTTTAAATTATTAAATATAAAAAATTTAATTGATTAAGATTTATAATTAAATTAATTATTTTAAGTCTTCCAACGGATTTCCTGAGTTAAAAACAATGTTACAGGTAAATGGCTTAACGTCTTCGATTATTTTCTACACGCTGCCTGTGTAAATAGAGCAGATAAGGAAATATCACTTCGCTTTCTTTCAGCCTTTCGGCTCGAACTGCCCTATATATAGCATTCATAATATAGGATTCCTCGGAATTATAGGCCCAATCGCCTACATTGCCTCTGAGATGTCCAGTTACCACATACTTTGATATCCAACGTTCCTTCTTAAGAACTTGTCTAACATCACGCATTAGGGCACTTGCATTCATTGTCTGGTAAAACTTCTCTATGTCAACATTCTTAGGCTCGGTTTTCTGATCGCTCAAACATATAAATTGATAAAGAGTTGATTTATTTTCTCTCCTAATGACATCCATTCCAACCCATTCCAGAGGATACTCGCCATTGACAACTTCCATTGGAGTTGGATTTCCCATTAGAATTAAGCTCAAATAACTCATGTAGTTCCTCTTGATGGCATCTTGTTCCGGCTTTTTGAGATTTACGCCTTCTGTGGGATCCTCAATGAGCAATACCTTTTCTTTCTGGATATTTATTTAGTTATTATTATTATTTTTTTA